AGTAAACCAATATTTAGCTTTTAAGAATCTATATTCTTTCTCTATTTTGAGAACTTAACATTTGCTTTACTTTTTTCCTTTTAGCATCTCTTTAGTACTCTTCATCCTAAAAGGTCACCAATTTGCTTATTGATAAGAGAACAGGAGCTTAGAAAGTGAGGAATTTGCCCAAGGCCTAAGCTTCGTAAAGGAGAGATTAAGATTCAAGCAATTATCTTTGACTTCAAAACACCATGACACATATCTTCCTACACACTAGGTTTGGGAAAACTCTCCCAGTTCATCCAACAAGATTATTTCCTCCTAAAAAAATGATAATGATACAGCACAGTAAAACAATAGATACATTTGTTTTATTGTCTCCGTTGCATCATTCATTAATTTAAAAATGTTTTGGAGCACCTATTAATATCAGACTATTTTGGACCCTAGGAATACTACTTTAAAGAAGCACTCCTTAAGCTTACATTTTATTTGGGGATGAGAGAGGATATTTTAATAAGAACTCAACCAAATTTACTGGCATTGAGTCGATTCTGGCCCATCACAACACTATGGGACAAAGTAGAACTACCCCTGTGGGTTTCCAAGACTATAAATCTTTATGGGGTAGAGAGTCTCCTGCAAAGGGGCTGGTGGTTTCAAACTGCTGACCTTGTGATTCGCAGCCCAACTTGTAACCACTATGCCACCAGGGTTCCTACTTAAATAAGATATTAGGTCATGGTTAGGGCTGTGCAGAAAAATAAAACAGAGTGAAGGTGTAGCAGAGACAGGAGAGTTATATTTTGTTCTAAAGAGGTAACATCTTAGAGATCAAATGAAGTGAGAGATTAAAACATGGACATGTCTTAAGGGTATCTATAGCAGCAAATATGTGCCTATATTCATTGAAGTGCCATATTTTCTCCCCCAGAATAAGGATCTAGTTTATAGGATGAGCTTTTCCACTATAAAATACCTGATTCTTTAAAGATGTATGTTTATTCCATCATCCATTCATTTTTTTTCAATAAATAATTTGTTCAAGCATCTTCCATCAAGTCCATAGTAGTCAAGTGGTTAATATACTCGGCTGCCAACTGGAAGATGGGAGGGTTGAGGTCACCCAGAGGCTCCTCAGAAGACAGCCTTGAATATCTATGTTAGAGAAACCCACTGTGGAAAATGTGTTTATGGAACACAGCTACACTGACACACAGGACATCAACGTCAGTCACAGTCAACTGGGAAGCAACTGGTTTATGTGAACAAGACTACTCAAGTCCATCAAGCTTAATCACCCAGAACGATCCGTGCTATCATGATGCCGTGTACGAGGGCGCTTCAGAAAATGTCTGTGAGCGCTCTATCTGGGCTCCGCCATAGAACGGAGGTACCAAAGGGGAAGTCAGCATTCAGAAAGCTTCCCAGTAAGATGCACACTTGGGCTGCCTCTATGGTCCCAAGGTCTGCCATCCACAGACCTGTGGCAAATGGGGCCACCCTGCCAAGTGCAAGAGAAAGCAAAACTGAAGTGCCAAGGCTAAAAGATAAAGTACCACCGATACTGATTGTATATTGCAGATTCAGGCATGGATTCCAGGAAGAAAACACCTAAACCCGAGAGCCAGTGCAGCATCCGGTTCATCTGAAGGATTCTAACAACTAGTTGTGCAATAAATGTTCCCATTTTGGGGGAGGGAGGTGGAAAGGTTGTAGGGAAACATACATCTTCTATGAACTTAAAAAAAAATTCTTAGGTGAAGGTTTATAGAGCAGACCATCATTTCTACATTCAACAATTCATACACGTTTTCTTTTAACTAATCCATTGCAATCCCCGCAGAGTACCAGCACTTAGTGTACTTCCACCCTGTTTTTGCTGTGTCGACTCTACCTTGTGCCACTAGCCCTCTGAACTTGGGGGTAAATGCTGTCTTTGTTTGTATTAAATGGTTGCTATTCGATCACAGGAGTGAGTTCAGCTGCAGACCTGAAGGGCAGCTAAGCTCCACAGTCTCGGAGGTTCGATCAGTCTTTATCCTGCCAGGAAGCCTGGTCTCTCGCATGATTTTGAGTTCAGTTGCACATTTTTCACCCACTCTACCGGGGACCTTTTCCAATGATCCCTTTCAGAAAAGTTAGTGGTAGCGGGGTACCATCCAGTTCTGGTCTCTGGGTTGTAGAGACATGCTTGCATGGTCCCTTAGTCCATTGAATTCATTGTGGCCATGCCTTTTGATTTTTGTCACTTTTGTTTCTTCCTAAAAGAGAAAAATTAATAGTTGTACCTTCGAAGGCTATCCAATAGCTTTTAAGACTCCCTCCTCACTGAAGTGGGATGTAGGATGTTGTCTTTATGCACTACGTTATTCCAAATGACTTTCGTGACCCCCAGGAATATGGTCATAATCCCCCAGGCCCAGCTACTCATGCTCTTAAGGTATTTGGTTGTGTCTAAGAATTTTTCATAACTTTGTACTCTGTGGTTTTTTTACCACATGCATAGATATATTTGTACCATGTGTACATATATACAGATATCTTTCGTCAAACCACTAAGTACTCGCCCTCCTACACCTGTTCAGCCTGTGTATCTACCCAAGCATCTATTCATATATCATCACTATTTCAGGCCTGAGTATGTAACAAGCATTTGCTTCTGTTGCCTTTAACTCCTGCAAATCCCTGTCTTCCCCTGCTTCTATCATTCTTAGCCAACCTCCTTGTTATTGTGTACTGTCTTCCCCCACCCAAGCTCATACCTGTCAACCCTCTAGCCTGTGACTTCCCCTCCCTCCCTTCTAGTGTGAAAACATTTTCCTGACTTTTGATAAGAGTGGTCTCATACAATATTTGTCCCTTGGTGATTGGTGATCCATATTATAAGGTGGTTTTGCAAATGTATCATATTCATTAACATTGAGTACTATTTCACTGTACATGCGTGCCAACATTTATTTATACATTCTTCCACTGATGGACACAGGTTGTTTCCCTCTTTTTGGTATTGTGAATAGTGCTGCAATGAACATGAGTATGCCTGTATTTATTCATGTCGTGACTCTTATTTTTCTAGGATATACACCAAGTACAGGGATTGCTGGGTCAGTTGCTATTTCTATTTTTCTATTCTCCATTTTCTCAGGAAGCACCAGATTACTCTCCACAGTGGTGGTTCTGTCTGACAGTCTCACCAGCAGTGGATGAGGGTTCCATTCGTTCCACATTGTTACCATCATTTGTTGTTTCCCTTTTTTCTTTTTCTTTTTACTTTGCTATTAATGCTGAGGTGATGTGTTAGGCCAGGTTGACTAGAGAAACAAATCAAGAGACACTGATACATGTGTTAGAAGGAGCTTTATATCAAGAAGTAATTGTATATCAAGGAAACATCCCAGCCTAGTCCAACTCAAGTCCATAGTCCAAAACTAGTCCATAAATCCTTCCTCAGACTCACACGGTCACATGCAATGATGCAGAATGCTAGAATATCACAGGCCAGTGGGTGCCTAGTCCTGTGGATCCAATGACGGTGGATGCATCTCCAGGGCTCTGGCAGGTCCCAGCATGGCTTGCCAGCAGGAAGGTGAAATCCGAGAAAGGTGGGAGGTTCCCTGGGCCTGCCTTATGAGAAGGCCATGCTCACGAGGAGGCACCAGCAGGCCGTGACCTGACTGACAGATTGAGTACCATTTCCTACACTTTTATATGTGTTCACGTTGACATGAAATTATGTAACTACCACAGATGCGGTGATATACCTCATATTATGTTTATTTGCATCACTCAAATAGCGAGTGATCTTGAGCATTTCTTCTTGCTTATTGGCCGCCTATACCTCTTTGCTGAGGTGTCTGTTGATGTCCATTGCCTGTTTTTAATTGGATTATTTATCTTTTTCTTGTTAAGCTGTTGATGTTTTTCTATGCATTTTTTTAGAGATTAGTCTCCTGTTAAACATGCCATTGTCAAACACTTGCTCCCCCAGTCTGTGGGTTCTGGTTTTTTTCTTTGAGTGAAATCGTTTGATGCTCATAAGTGTATATAATCTGGGGCAGTTCCAGTCATCTAGTTTGTCTTCTGCTCTTTGGCTATTTTTCATCATGTTTTATAATAGTATATTTATGCCTTCATTTTCCACGAAGGTTTTTTTTTCCCCCATGAAGTTTTTGAAACTCCCTTTTACAGACTGACATAAGAAAGCACTTGAGCCATTTTAACTATTCACACGTTTAGGAATCCATCTGACTAAAGGAAATACAATAGCAACACATTAAATTCTGTAATGACAGTTTTCAAAATACTTAAAGCCATTGAACCATTTCTTTAAACAAAATCTCAGACTGAAATCCCAATATATAATGTAGAAGTTTCTCGGTTTAGCACAACATTGAGGGCCCAGAAACACCTCTAAACACAAGTGTGAAAACCAATGTCTTAAATGTTTAGTCCCAAAGAGAAACCTGCCCCTGGTTCACTAAACTTGCTTTTCTCTGTTCCTATGTAAACCAAATTTGAAGACCCATTTAATCATTGATCAAAACCATCAGAACTGTTACCTCTGACTTGTGTTAAATGAAATAAATGAACCCTTTTCTCAAATGAGAACAGACGTCAGCTTTTTTCTGCTCTTCAAAGCCATAAAATCGAACTTATTAGAGCCTAAATGACTCAGAAGTACAGTTTAAAGGGCTCGTCTTCTTTTTCCCCCTACTTCTGGCCAAAGGTCACTACATTTACATTAATAATCAACTCTTCCAAAGTGTGCTAGTCTATCACCTGATACTGTGTGGCCCTCAGTTGTTCTCTTGAGCTTTGTCATTTGAAGAAAGGCCAGATTTCCCCCTCAGTGTAGCACATAGACAAGTGGACACTCCTCATTGTGCACGCTACTTGCTCTGCGTGCCTTCTCTTAAGAGCACATACACACACCAGACCGAAATAGACCTCATACTGTAGCTCAGGAACCAGCTGTCGTGATTATGCTAACTACTGCCCCTTTCTTTTCTCTGCAGATGACAGCAACTGCCCAGCCACCCTCCAAGGCCCAGGCTGTCCATATTTCAGCACCCTCTGCTGCTGCCAGCACACCAGTTCCCAGTGCACCCATTGACCCCCAGGCACAACTGGAGGCTGACAAGCGAGCTGTGTACAGGTAGGGGACACTGCAGCCAACCTGAGACTCAGCTTGACCATGAGATAACGCATGAAGGCCATGCTTGGGTGCACCACAGACAATGGCCAAACACTGCCCTCCTCAGTCTCCTTCCCACTATGTCAGTCTACAAAGCCCTCACGTGTCCAGTGGGGGTTACTTGGATTCAGGTGAATGTCTTGTGAAGTATATGAAAGCCTGGATGGCAGCTCCCAAGAGGATTCCTTTCTCCTCGTAACTGGAGGAGAACCCATCAATGAACATCAGGACCCATCGACTGAGTAAACGCTTCTTGCCCTCTCCATATACTCACCTTCACTCTAATAAGCCCTGCAACTCACTGGACACCTGAGTGCACCATCTAGGACTTGGTAGTTCTCAAACTTCAGTATGCATACACATCATGGGAGGGCTTGTTCAAAGTTTTGTTTCTGGACTCCGTGTTCAGATGCTGAATCAGTAGGCCCATCTAGAGGTGGGTGTGATGTAACTAGTCTTTGGACCACATCCTGATTCATGATGGTCCTCCTTCCAGCCTGTGGCCAGGCAGCCTCTCTCATTTTACCTTGCGTCAGCCCCCACACACCCCTTGTGTCCATCACAGAGGGAATGGGCTCAGGGAAAGTTCTGCCTACCTTAGGGAACTCCAGATCAGTGTTCCTGGCTAGGGAGAGAGCTGCACATATGTGAAAATGAGCCTGAAAGAGGCTCCATCAGGCCTGTGGTCACCCCTTATCCCTGGGAGCCCAAATCGGTACGAACAGATGCTGTGCCGGCACTAAGAAAAAAGTCAGACCCCTTGCTCACATTCACGTGTGTGCAAACATATATGTTCCCATGTGTCAACAAGTGCAATTTACCTATGGTGGCTATGCATTTGCAGACGGTCTTAATGGTAAGACGTGTAGAATGAGCCAGTCAAACAAATGGAATAGGAAGAAGATTGATTCCTTCCTCATTCTTTCCTCTCCCCACACCAGGTGACAGGATCTTTATGGTAATGGTGGCAATGATTTCTGTTGTTATTATTATTATCACTGACATTACTTTTAGTAACTCCGGTGAGCGGAATGCCTCTAGTGCCAGCAAATGGGAGCCCAGGTCAGTGAGGCCTGATTCATAGACCGCCGCATCAGGGGCTTGACCAAAGGCTGCCTGCAGATGGAGAGCTCAACAGAACTCTAGGCTCTGGTCACCATCCTTCTTGGGGAGACTGTCAGGGAGGGTGGATCATGCTGTCCCCGGATGGGCCTGGGCCCTCCTGCCCTCCCTTTTCTTTTGCACTCCTAAATCAAACCCTTATTAGTATTCCATGCTGGCACTTTGCTAGACTAAGGGAAAGAGGATGGACATATATAAGCAAAGGCTGACTCTCCCCCGGTCTCTGCAGAAACAGATCGGCAAACCAGAGGAGATTGCAGTGTGGTTAAAGCTGTCACAGGGAAAGCTTATTAGAGAAGTTAGAGTGTGAGCTCGGTCTTAAAGACAAAGTAAGAAAGTCTACCAGGTTGGGGGGGGGGATGGGGGATGGTGGATGGTGTGAGGTAGAACTTTCCAGGTAAAGCCTGCTATTTCTAGAAACTGCCAGTGGCCAGAGCAGCTGGATTTGAGAGCCGAGGCTGCGCAGCCACTTGAAAACTCACCTGAGCACTGGGTGGTAGACTTGCGCTTTTGAAGGGAGCATAAGAAGTGGGTAGGGTGGGGTAGCATGGCCACTGGAAACTGCTCAGTACCTCATAACTTGGAGGTTTGCTCCATTTGTGTCATCACCAAACTAAGTATGGTCCATGGACCAACAGCATCCCATCCCCAGGGATCTGATTATAAATAGAGGATCTCCAGCACCACCCCCACCCCCCATGCCACCGCCCCGACCTAATTTTAACAAGCTCCCCAAGTGATTTATTAGCACACTGTAGGCACCTTCCCAAACCCTTGATAGGCAGGCCCCTGTGGTAGGGTGTGTTAGGCTGGTTTGTCTAGACAGACCAGTGACACTCATATTTATGGGACGAAGAACTTTATATCAAGAAGGCATCCCAGCCCGGTCCACCTCAAGTCCCTGGGCCTGATGCTAGCCAAAGCCCCCTTCAGACTCATCTTGCTACAGTCCAATGATGCAGAAAGGTAGACGTGGGGGGAGATGATAGAGGCCAGTGGGTGCAGAGTTGCATGGATCCAAGGTTGGTGGGAACATGGCAGGGTACTGACAGCTCCCAAGGACCCACATGGGCTTGTCCTTGGAGTCAGACACAGAAGCCCAACAAGCAAGGACAGGAAAGGGCAAGATAGAGAAAGGGGGGTTCCCAGTGTCTGAAAGGTCTAAGAGACCCCACCTTCAAGGGGGCATTATCAGGCTGGGACCTGATTAATAGGTTAGACTCCACCCGTACACTTTCAACCAGGTACGAGATGACAGGAAATCCAACCGCCGTATGGGGTAACGAGAAGTTTCTGCGAACCTGGACTCCGCTCTGGCTTTCTCCATACCCACAGTCTCGCCGCCGAGCTGTGCTTGCCCAGGAATTCCGTACTCAGCAGGTTTGAGAGAATCTATGGGAGGCTCCTGTGGGCACCTGTCCCTGTGGCTGATGTAAAGGAGGTGACAGCAAAGCAGACGAGTCCCCTTGTCCCACCCGTGGAATCCATGGGCTCCCAATCCCTTCCCAGGAGCCCAGATAAAGCTTATTCCTCACCCAGGCTACACTGCAGGAAAGGTGGGTCACCTCCCCCCGCAGAGCAGCCCATTGTGGTGTCTTTTCATGTCAGAAGGTCCAGGTTTTCTTCACCACAGCCCTAACATTTGCCCACATTATCCCTGAAAATGAGCCTGAAAAGGGACCACTGGATACCGGCGCCATCAGATCATTGCCCCTCTACCCTCTAACCTCACTACTGTCCCACCTCTACCTTCTGGCCCAGGAATGGCCAACAACCACACCTCTCCCATTAGTATCAGCTGCCCTCTCTGCCAGGGCTGGCGGGACTGGGAGGAAGCTTGGTCTCCCGGGGGGTCGGGCAATTTTCATGAGATCTGCTGGCCTCGGGCAGCCTGACTGCTGCAAAGCACATTAGGGAGTCCACATTTCATGTCAATAAATGTAACAAGACGCCTTCCATTCACATTAGTGCCTGGGACTGGCATTTGGGAGCCCCCACGCAGGCTCCTCCCACAGCCACAGAGGAAGGAAAAGTGGAAGCACCTTTCTGGCCACGCCTCTGCTGAGAATCAAGGGGCAAGGTGACAAACCGGGACTGCCTGTGGCTGCAGGGAGCCTACCAGTGCTTAAGAGGTTTTATTTGCATATGAGGATGTGCTAATGAAATGTGTTGCTTCCTTGCTGAGGTGCCCTGGGAGCTAGGGGTAGGGGGCTGAATGATGGGCAGGGTGAAAGGGGAGGTCTAGTCTGCCTTTAATTGGATCATACCAGGGCATCATCAGGGCTAATCAGCAAGGCAACCAGGCGCTCCCGTTCAGGTTAATGATTGCAATATAAATCACATAGATCCCGTGATTGAGTGCACGTCATGATTAATTGTGTTTGTGGTCCGGGAACAATGCTGAGGGGTCGTCTAAGGAAGGGAGGGAGGATAGTGGGGGGACCTCAGGTTTACATCCTGTTTCGAGATACAAAGGAGAGCTCAAAGAGTTTAAGGAGAACATTTGGGAAGTCTTCAACAGGACAGACATAGAATAAGGATTGGGGTGACCATTAGCATCCAAGGGTTTACATTGATTCAGAGACCTGAAGAGGCCAGAGGAGGGCAAAAGAACTGTCACTGAGCATGAGTGGCCAAAGCCCAATACCTCACAGTGACAGGTGGCACTTCAGAAGTGGGAACTGGACGTTCTGTTAGACAGTTTACAAAATGGATCCAGGACCTTCTGACCAAAGTAGTAATGACTATGCGCCCTCAGGGCGGGGTTCTCCATCAAGGGACACCCCTAAGGAGACTGCTCTTCCACTTTCTTTTTTTATAAAGCATTTTATTGGGGGCTCCTACAGGTCTTATAGCAATACATATGTCAGTTGTATCAAGCACAGTTGTACATATGTTGCCATCATTTTCAAAACATTTCCTTTCTACTTGAGCCCTTGATATCAGCTCCATTTCCCCTCCCTCTCCCATGCTCATGAACCCTTGATAAATTATAAATTATTATTTTCATATCATTTTTTTTTCTTTTAAGACTGGTTTCTTTCTTTTTTAAAAATCATTTTATTAGGGGCTCATACAACTCTTATCACAATCCATACACACACCAATTGTGTAAAGCGCATTTGTACATTCATTGCCCTCATCATTCTCAAAACATTTCCTCTCCACTAATGCCGGGGGCTTAAGTGGAGAAGACTGGTTTCTTTACTTATAACTTGAAGATGTAGTATTTGCTACATATTGAAGTGGTAAAGACTGATGTTTGAGAGACCAGAGTTCAAAATATAGCTCTACTAGTCACTACCCAATTAATCTTTGTGAAATACTTTAAAACTCTCAAGTTTCAGTTTTCCAATTTGTAAAGTAAATTTATGTGTACACTATAGTTCCCTATCTTACACCATCTGCCGATCCACTTTCTAATGCACTCTGCCTGAGGACAAGACTGTTCTCATTCCTGCTTGGTTAGTGGTCAAAAGTCATTCAATGGAGCTTTAATCCGCATGGGGCCTCAGCCAATGGCTTTGGGGTTTTCATGGCTGTCTATAGCTTTCTGCAAACCTAGTGCTCAGCATTTAAGCTCTAAGACAGTCTCTGGTCAGTTCTCTTCTTCCCTGCCCCTGACCCCCATCTCAACACTCAGCTTTCCTCCTGAGAAGTTAAAATTTAGCTTGCACCACTATTATCTACCATCTCCCCCCTCATCCACCTTTTCCCTGTGTTGGGGGGCAGTGTGGTGGAAGGCGAGTGCTGTGTTCGCTGCAGCGACCTGGGGATTAGTTTGCTGTAGGCGGTGGGGTGACAGCGCACGGAAGCAGCAGCGAGTAGATGGAGCCAAG